CGGGGAGGACTTCCTCGATGACTTCCTTGAAGTCCTCTCGGTTGTGGTTTGGCTACCACTACTCATCACAGAAATCTCCTTGATCACTTTCCTGTACTTCCGCTTTCTTTTGCCTTTCTGGTCGTGCTTGGCATTTCCTTTACCTGGTGTGCTATCTGACGACCAGGATGCAGGACTCGCACTTGTTTCCTCTGAGAATCCTTGTAGAGAGGTCGCAAGGGAAGTATCCCCATCGGTATCCACATCTGACTGATCTAACTTGATTTTTTTCCCTTTGCAATCTCCAGCTCTCGCAGTGGCGGTCTCAGATCCATAGTCATCATCTTTAATGTTCCTCTTTCGCTGCTGTTTCACAGCTACTGGTTTTCGCTGTCGAAGAACATGAGACCTTCTCTTTGCGACTTTAGCCATCCTCATCTTGGACCCGCCTCTCTTCCCCGCTCGCCTCGCCATTGAAGATAATGCAATTATGTGCTATTTCAACACTGAACATGCAATAATCCTTCAAATTAATGAACGTCTGCCCCACAGTGATTAAAGACTGGAAGGATTCGAAGGCCGATGGAGCGCCAGAGACACGAATGACCCTTCGGATATGTGAAAGTGGTTTAGGGTTTAGGGTGGCGGTGCTGGTGGTGGTGCCCTCAGGGATTGACGTCGTTTGAATTGTGGGGAGGCCCCCCCCCCCTCCTGCCCGCCTGCCCGTCTGCCCGCTCCCTTTTCTTACCGACACATCGTTCCACTTCACCATTCCCGAAACCTTTCTGCTTTTAAGTGTGGGAAAGGAAACGGCGACCAAAATCCTAAATTTGTGTTCTAGAGCAGGAATCAACATCACAAACAGGATTTCCAAAATAGATTAATATATTTTGGATTGTTGTTTTGTGTTGAGCAACAATTTAGTTGATTTAATAAAAATTCAAGAGATTAAAAAATGATTGGTTTTGTACAAAGTGAGACTTAAAACTATGAGTGACTTTGTTGAAAATTCTATATTTATATTAGAATTTTGATGCTTTTAATAAAATGTTGAACATAATATATATATATATATATATATATATATATATATATATATATTTATATATTTATAGACGCATACATATATATTCATACACGGTTCACATATATATCTTTGTATCTTATAAATTTAATTTGGTATTTCCATAACATGATAACTTTATTATTTATTTGTATTGGGTTACAATCAAGTATTTAGTACTGCTATTTTTTAAATCTAATATTTACATATATTATTGAATTATTAAATAAAAATATATTAATATTTTATTTACTTGTATATTCTATACATTAAAGGCAAAACTGACTATTTGTCTATATACATCCATCTAAAGAATCATACATCTATTTATTAATCTTTTTAATCATTTACCTATTTTTTGATTGCTTAAAATTAAGATCTGTTCAAATTCCATTTGAATGATATTTTATAAGCAATTCAAAACTTGTGCCTATCTAATAATCTCATGTTAAAGAATAATACAATTATAGATTAATTTACGAAATAAAATTCCAATCAATTTAATTATTGCTAATTGCAAAAAGAAGAGCTATTAATATCTTCAATTCAAAGAGTTGGTAGCTACTCACAAGTTTTTATTTAAATTTTTTACTTGTTAAAGAAAGAACTATACATAAAGAAATTATTGCAAAATTTTGGAAGAAAGATGCACTAACAATAAGTCAATAGTAAAATATTAAAAGAAGCCCCTCATAGCTTGTATTATAGAAATTTGTAGTAGAAGTATAATTGGAAGAGAGAGATATTTACAAAAACATTGTTACAAAGTAACTAAAGATAGCACTACTTGTAGCATCCTGTCATAAAAGACCTACAACAAAACCTAAGAGAATAACAACTTGTAAGAACTACTAAGTTTGATCTAAGGATATGATACAAGCATGTGATTATCATAATCAATTTTATCTTGCATGTCAAGGAAGTAATATGCTTTTATACTCTATTTTTATACATCACATAAATAATTTATTATATAACTTATTTTGATTCATAATTTTAATATATACTTATTTTTAAATAAGAATAAGAATAAAATAAGAATAAAATATTATTAATATCAATGTTATGACATAGCAATTCACATTTTTGATATAATTACTATGCATAGATCAATTTAGTATTATTTTTTTTATAAATTTGATAAAAATTTAAAATTAAGCCTTTCAATTTTTAAAATAATATAAAAAATTTTAAAGTGAAGTTCAATTAAACTTGACTTAAAATGCTTGACTCAGATAATGAACAAATTAGATCTTAATGATAATTTTTATTTTATTAATAAGTCCTCAAAATTCAAATTTAATACCATAGACCTATTGCAATAGACCAATTTTTGGTTTTCTAATAGATGCAATTGTATTACTTTGAATTTCATTAGAAACTTTTGATATCTACATATCTTTTTGATTGATCACTTTTTATGTTAATTTATGCTATAAACAAATTTAATCTGTTGCAAGCACCAATTATTCTATTTGGTCTTTTATCTAAGCTATGACATTCTTTATTTTGACTAATTGTGTGATAAGAATGACAACTTAGGAACCTTTACACAACAAAGAGAAGCAAAAAAATAAAAAATAAAAAAGAGTTATATTACAAATATTACATCAATTTAGAAGAAGGTAAATTTTAAACTCTGAAGCTCTTTGATGCTTCAAAATATAAAAAACTTAACTCAATCTTTATCAATAAAGAATAAATTTAAACATCATTTATGTTTTATATTTTTTTATTTTTTAAGAATAAAAATCAAGATGATTTTTTCATAAGATTATAAAATTATGTATCATTAATAAAATATTATAAAATATAATAAGAGATCTAGAAATAATATAGAAATATTATATTTTTAAAAATAATTAAATAATAATTAAATTTAAAGAAATTAAAGAGTCTTGAATTAAGATTGACATCTAATAAAGACATTGATAAGACATAAAATGATTATAACCTTGCCTCTATATATACTACCTACTAAGAAAGCCATGTAAAAGCTTCTTAGGAACCAAAAACTTGTGGCCCAGGCATCCAAATTATAGATTATTTCCATAGTAATTCTAATAGAAGTATTTATATCTATAAAACATATCTATAAGAATCTACATATTTTGTTTAGATCTAAGAAGTTTCATTAAAGTTTTTTTTTTTGACTTATATTTGAAGTAGTTTAAGTATTAAATGTAATTACATCTTTTTAAGTAAAGTTAAATTGTATATATATATATATATATATATATATATATATAATAAGAAAATTATTTTAAAATAATAAACTCGATTTTTAAAATCTATACTTGATATTAAAATTTATACGAAATTCAGTAAATAAATATAAAATATAAATATTTATACATATTCAAGTTAAAAATACTAATTTTTGTATATTTATATATAAAGAGTTATGTCATTAATATTTTAAATGTATGTTTTCATTTCTATAAATACAAATGCGCTTTTTGAAAATTTAAAAATAAAATATAAATAATTTTTTTAGTGAAAAATATATGATAATTCTTTATGACCCGAGTATTTTTTTATCCAATCCTCTGAAAAGACAAACTTGTGTTTTTTTTACATGAAAGGAAAATTAAAAAGAAAAATTAAAATATCGCCACAATAAAAAGCTTATTGAAATATTAAAGATTTATTTTTCTTCAACTACTAGTTTATTTCTTCACAAGATATGAAAATTAATTATATGACACATTTTTTAATTAAGTTCTAAAAATCACTTGTTGAAAAGACTTGTTAGTTATGCTTTTGAATGATACTTTGGTTATATAATTTTAGAAAGTTTAAAGATATCCCAGAAGAATTTAAAGCTTCAAAAAAATATCATAGAATGTTTTTATACAAGGAAATATTAATTTTTATTAAAAAATTATATGAATTATTTACTTTCTGAGTTGAATAATGTGTTTTTTATTTTTATTTTTATTTTTAATTTGATGAATTGACAATCGGATACAATTGCAGTTTTGAATGTAATCAAGAACCTATTGATATATAACTATATATATAAAAAAATATATAAAAAAAAAAGGGGGGGAAGAAAGAAAAAACTTGACTAAAGAACCCTTTTATCCAGCCGTCGATCAATTTCACAACCACAAAATGAACCAACTAGGAAAACTAGATATATGGTGTTTCTTTGTTGTATTAAAGATCAAATAATATAGTAAAAGCAAACCTCCACCACTTTTAAGCAGTAGCCAAACCACAATACAAGCTGAAGTGTGTGTGTGTGTATATCTATTGAAATTGAGCAAGTAGTCTCATATATACACTACTACAAGTTGTGTCAATGGATACGAATCTATCACCAAATCTGCAATCACAACAATAAAGATGGAATCCAGCACATGTCAGAAGAAAACCCCAAGACTTCCAATAATCTGATGCGAGACGCAAACAGAAACAAACTGGCAGTAAAGACACACAGAACTGTGGATGCCGAAATCCCCCCCCCCACCAAACCAATCCCTCTCTCCCATCCTGTCCACCGTGTCCATCCACGTATGCATATGCGGTGGCAAGGGCAAGTGCCACATCAGCCACAACAGCCATCCATCCACCAGCCCAAACCACCCACCCTCCGAGCCTCCGCGAGGCGGGCGATGCACGGACAGGCCAGGAAGAAAGGATGAACAGATCCATGGATGGGAAGATGGTGCCCGAGGATCCTCATCCGTGGACGCTTTAGACGTTGATGCTACAATCTTCAATCAGGCGGGCAATGTGAATGGTTCCTTTTCTTCATCGTAAGAGTTTGGCAGAGGCGTATGGATACGGATACGATGCGGTGGACAACATCGCGTAGATTGTAGCTTGAGGGATAAGCCGTTGGATGGCGGGAATGCGTTCCCGGGAAATTCCTCCATTCCCCAAACCCGGGCTTCAATTCAAAGCCTGCGCGGTACACCTCGACAACCCTACTACAAATTTTCCCTCCATCAGGTTGTTTCCCTCCATTTCCATCCAGACCACTCCCCCCTGGCTCCCAACGTTCACCGCTATTCTCTTGTATCGGTGGCGCTGTTCCTGTGACCGCATTATCATTTCCCTAGGCCCCGACTTCTGGGTTTGGAGTTCTTGCTATTCTGTGTAGTTGTGCCCTGCCTTTGTGGTTCGGTGTTCTGCTGCTGAATTGTCGAGTGAAGACGTAATTGCTTGCAACTTGGGGATTCTTGAGTGTCGGTTTGAGCTCGCTTCGTGTCTGCTTCTTCCGATTGGATGAGTTATTGTCCAATTGCTATTTTGGCGGGCTGAGTTTGTCGTGGAAGGTTGTCAACGTTGCCCGGCTTCTGCATCTGCAATTGCAATGCGGCTGCGGGAGAGGTCACAGGTGGATTACACCAATCGTGTATTTGTTGACATTGATCTTGATTCTAAAGGTCCGCTAGTCACCAGAGAAGGTGCTTCGGCCAGTAGGATGATTAGTCCTGGGGTGTTTGATGAGATCGAGCAATCTGATAGTGAAGACAGCTTCGGTGGTGACAAGCCTGAAGCAATTTCCGACGATTCATCAAACTTAGATGACGATGTCCCTGTTGCGACGAAGATACACACCGGGCGGTTGCGTCGCAGGAAGCTGAAAGCGGGGCGACTTGCGGAAGGGCGAGGTGAAGGTGATGATATAGCTGGAGGCACCAGGACAAAGGCCAAGAAACCTGCTTCCAAAGACTTGTTATTGAAATATCTTCAACCCAATGTCAGCAATGTTGAGGATCGGCCCAGTCGGGTGAATTTGGGGTATATCTAACCTAGCCCTCTTCTCCAACGATGTGATTACGTCTCTAGGACCGTTCAAACGGTGTCCTGCTTGTCAGTAGACTTAATCTACCGTCATAATCAATTGACATTGAACTAGATTTTCACTGAATGTGTTCTTATGCTCTTCTACGAATGCATTTAACGCCAAAATGAACTCACCCTCAGTTCTCCTTGATCGATAGGAGTGATAGTGAAGACGCATTTGAAGGAGCTCCCCCGTTGCTACAAGCAGGACGTAGAAAGAGGAAAGTGGTGGCGCAACCTAGAGGAAATAGTGTGCCATTGTCCAGCGATGATGATGGTGGCGATGATAGGCCATTGAAGAGATGTCCCATGAAACTCAGGTGGGGTCTCATGTGCCCGTCATGTCGTTGACAGCTTACTGCAATGAAACCGCTCTGAAACTGGCCAGGATTGTCAGTGATGTCTTGCCCTTCTTGTAATCAATTCATGAGTGGATTGGGTTGTGGACTGTTTCTGGAGTTATTTAATCCTAGATGTGACGTACCTGACAAAGACGCTGTGTCTTTTTGAAGTAATGGCTCGTCGATCGCAAGATTCTCTTCTCGTCCTGCACGACAGAGCGTTTTGAGCTATAAGGATCATTCCTCAAGTGATGACGAACAATTCGAACCACTCGGTGCTGTCTCAAAAAGTCAAGATCAGCTTGGAGCATTTTCAGACGCCCAAGACGAGGAAATGCAAGATGCTAGTGATAAAGACTTGGTAGATTTCGGGGCTTATGCATTTAAAAAGGAGGATAATGGAACCAAAAGAAAACTATCGACTAAAACATTATGCAAGGAGAAAACTGCCAATGACAGGACTCGGCGTTTACGCAATCTCAGCAAGCCTGCTAGCTCGAAGGGTATCTCTTCAGATATGCACCATAGTGTTGAAGCTAGTAAGCTTCGTGGGTCTCGCCTCATTCTTCTTTAATCATATGAACTTTCTGGGGTGCTGAATCTTACTAGCTGTGTTCAAGTGCGTGATTATGTGATACATAGCAGGCGTTCTTGGTGTTTCCGCCTCGTCGCAAGTTTTTATGCATTTCGCTAATTCCGAGCCTTCTTACAGGTGAAGAGTCCCTTCCTGGACAGCGGCGTCCATTACGTGAGTATAGTATCAGAAACTTGAAAGATGCCTCCTCTTCCGATGAAAGCGGACCAGCAGGTGGTATATTTCACTGCGAATCGTTCTCTGAGACTTCACTGAATTCTTGTTCTTATTATATATTGATCCGAAGTGCATTAGAGCTTCTACCAGATTGTAGATACTCTTATGCTTGTTTTCACTATTTGATGTATCAGTTATCTCTCAGACTTGTAGCTAACGCCTGAGTTTAGCAGGTCTTGAAACCAGCAAAGTGGATGCCGTCTCCAAGTGGAAGCCTCGACGATGGTTAGAGGGATGTGATGGTGAGACACAGCACTGCAGTGAAGCGCAAGATGAATCAACGTCACCAGTATTAGATCGTCTTGAGGCTGAGCAACCTGTTATGCTCAATATTGGAGTATATGGCATTGAAAGGGACGAGGGTCCAGCCGCTGTCGCAAAGCGAATTGGACGGGTGGAAAAGATCTTGTCAGCTAGGAAGGATGGTGACTCCTCCCTGATCTTCACTGTGAAAGAGTACGGTAAAAGCTACAGAGATGTGGTACATGTAAACGAGAGCACCCTTTTGAAGCACTGCCCTCAGCTCATCCGGAACTTTTTGAAACGGTTAGCTCAACTAGGACGAGTTGATGGTCACTGTTCAGATCGGCCGGACAGTCCAGCATTTGATCCCCTCTTCACCAAAATTGATCGGATTATAGCTCATGAAGTTCAGAAGAAGAAAAAGGTTTATCTTGTGAAATGGTGTCGGCTTCCATACACGGAGGTCACCTGGGAGAAGGAAGAGAAATTGTCAGGTGATAGACTGGCTATTTCTCGTTACTACCAAATCAACAAAGTGCCCTCTCCATCGAACTCGTCCGGGAAATCTATTCAGAAGCGGTTTAGGGACGGGCGTGTGCTAAGGAACTACCAAGAGGAAGGCGTTACCTGGCTCGACCACAATTTTGAGAATCGCACCAACTGTGTCCTTGCAGACGAAATGGGTTTGGGTAAAACTATTCAGGTCGATTCACTCCCCAAGCAACGAACCCCTTCAGCAGATGTGATGTCGCATCTTTGCAGTCACATATCTACATTGGACTTTGTGTATTTTAGACCTCACAAGCGTGCTGCCAAGTAATCGTGTGCCGGGTGTGACGCCCTGATTTTCATTAGAAGCATATAGTTATTACAACGTTTTCCATCCCTGTCAAAGCTCATTATGGTCTACTATTTCGGTCAAGTAAGCTAAGGTCCTTAACTATCCTCGTTTCCATGGAAGAAGTTTTGGAGCCAACTGAGTTTCAGTACACTGAAGCCTGCATATATTTGTGTTGGCTTTTGTAGTCTGTCGCAATGTTGGAGACGCTGCGTTGCAAGCGAAACTTGCGGGGACCATTTTTGGTTATTGTTCCTGTCTCAACGCTTGGACATTGGCAACGTGAGATTGAGTCACTGACTGACATGAATTGTATAGTGTACTCTGGCACCCAAGACGATCGGGATATAATTCGCCAATACGAGTTCAACTTTGCTAGTAACTCCAAGGCACTCAAATTTAATGTGCGTATTCATTTGCTAAGTGGAGGTGGACACTGATTTGTGGCTTTTGCCGTTAGTTCGCTTCTATTCTAAGTCATGATGAAGGATTCCGGTGTTCCTGAATAACATGCTCCGAACCTTGAGAGATGTGTCTGAGGCTGATGGTGATCATTGGGTCCCTTTTACAGGTACTTTTGACTAGTTTTGAGATGTTGATGCGGGACCAGAACAAGCTTGCCAAGGAGACATGGCAGTACATAATTGTCGATGAAGCGCACAGGTAGCTCCTTCCTCCTTCTCCACTTTCCCTAGTCTTTTCTTTTTCTTCTTCAAAGTCATCATATGACATGTATGTAACAAACTGTTAGTATCATAAATTAACGCTTTCACGGTAATTGTCCGACGCATCTAGTATGTTTGTGTTCTTGATGGTTGTGAAGGAACTCCTTGTCTGCTAAGTCTGGTGCCCAATTGCACCGTCTATATTTGTTTTATTCAGGTTGAAATCTAGAGTCTCGAAAACTACGCAGGCTCTCCGACAATTGAAAGTCAGGAAGGGTGGCCTTCTACTCCTCACAGGCACCCCTGTCCAAAATAACACGAAAGAGATCTTGTAAGTTACTCACATATGTTAATTTGCATCTCTATGTAATTGTCCACATGCTCTTATCTGTTTAACTCCGTGAGTAATAATCACTCGAGTATCGTCGTGGATTCGCAGTAGCCTGCTGAACCTGTTAGATCCAGAGAAGTTCAACTCTGAGGAGGACTTTCTGGAGAAGTATGGTGAGATAGAAGATGCCGAGCAGGTAAAGGGTTTTGTACACTGCAGTTTGGTCGTGAAGTAGATTTCACCTGAATATAGCTTTTGAAGTTGTTTGCAACATTTCACGGCACTCTACAGTCGAGGTCATCAGATTCCCAGGGTTGACAGAATGTTGGGTCCGCCAGATCAAGGATTTACAGGAGAACATACTCAGGCCCCGACTATTGAGACGAATGAAGGAAGACGTTGAGAAAAGCATACCTCAGAAAGAAGAGGTACTATTCCTCTTTATTATCACTGTGAAGCTGACAATTCATCAAATTGTAGTTGCGAGTCTCGCACAGTTGTGTATTAGGAGCGGACGAGAAATCTTTCTACTGCTACACGACTATAGGATTAAGCCAATTCTAAGTGGATACGTGAAGCACTGCTACCTAACCACATTAGTGGAGTATGGGAAGAGAATGTCTTGAACTTTCCTCACGACAATATCTAAGGTTCACCTTCAGGAGGATCCGAGAATTTCATTTCTTACTCGTGCGATTGGTTCAAAGATTGCCTCTTCACTAGCCTACCTTTTGGTGATGTAGACTATCGTGTGGGTGGAGCTCACAAAGGATCAAAGACTTTTCTACAAGGCGATTCTTGAGAACAACGTTGCAAGCTTGTTGAAGGGTTCTAGCACTAGTAACTTGCCCAATCTAAGAAATGTGGTAAGCTACTTGAGTTTCAGGATCTGCTGATGCTCTGTAGCGCACTAACTTTGTTGTAAGGCTCTAAACTTTGTTGTAAGGCTCTGGACTGTTAGGTTCTATGAACCTGCGGTTGTGAGCTTCTCGGCACATTGTGCCTTCAGGGAACGTTATTGATCTGTACGATTCTCTCTATTGATGATGATGCAGGCAATGGAACTTCGGAAAGTTTGCAATCATCCGTTTCTTTGTGATGGGCTTGAGGACAGCCTGACTGCTAAACTTAGATCGAATGCTGTAAGTCTCGTATTTGGATGTTTCCACTTCATGCATTGTTGAATGCATTATAACTCTATTTCCACAGCATGGATAGCTGTTCTTAGAATTTGCCACTTGAAATGTTTGCCCTTTCTAGCTAACAGCGACGTACACTGGTAATATTTGTTACTGTATTTGAATCTGTATTTTACTCTTCTATTTTCTAGAACGACTCAAATGCTTCTGGGAACTTACTTCAAAATAGTTCGGGGAAAATGATACTCGTCGACAAACTTCTGCCTAAGCTTAAAGATGCAGGTCGGCGCGTGTTAATTTTCTCGCAGGTAATCGTTCGCAGACGGTTAGATTTTGTAATGTCTGAATTGAACGTTGGCTAATCCATTCTCGTTAGACTAGGTTGTGCGAAGATTAGACAATGGGAAGGTTTCAAATATGGTCTTTCTTGGTGGCATCTACATATCATTTTCCACGTGACTAATGACGTAGTTTGCTCAATTGTGCTCCCAGTTCACAATCATGCTCGATTTACTGGAGGATTACATGATCATGAAGGGGTACTCTTATGAAAGAATTGATGGGAAGATCCGTGGATCTGAAAGACAGGTACGATGTAATATCTCTCATGCCTTGCTTTGGATCTAAGCTTCCTAAAATACGCAAGGTACACGTAGGGACAATTAGCTTCTGATATGTGAGCAATGCCCATCTTGATGCAGGCCGCAATCGACCGCTATTCTGCTAAAGACAGCGACATCTTCGTCTTCTTACTTTCTACTCGTGCTGGTGGCCTGGGGATTACCCTTACTGCTGTGAGCTTCTTGTCCTGGTTTTGGTATTCTTTGCTTAGTTAATGCTTCGTCAGCATCATATGTTTCATTTCGCATCCTGACAAGGAGTAGTGATCAGAATTTCTGAAAATCGCTTACTTCTGCATGTGCAGGCAGATACGTGTATCATTTACGATTCTGACTGGAACCCCCAAAATGACTTGCAAGCTATGGCAAGATGTCACAGGTTCGCTATTCTCCAAATGTAATTCTTTTCAAACGCAACGAACCGACTGAGTTGGATTTACTGCTTCACTTCTTCGAACGTGTGCGTCAGCGAGTATTTCATACTAATTAAGTTCTCGTTGCAATGTTCCAGAATTGGCCAGACAAAGGATGTAAAAATTTATCGTCTCATCACTAGGAACACTTACGAGGAGCGGCTATTTGAGTGCTCATCACGCAAGTATGGTCTGGACGAAGCTATCCTTGGAAATCGCGTAGGCGCAGATGTTAACCTTGACCATGATAAGCACATTGAAAGCTTGCTCAAGCACGGAGCTTACGACATAATGAAGGTACTATGACTAACTTGCTACATGCTTGAGCCATGTAGCATTGACAATGAAACAATTTTGCACTTCTAGTTTTTGTTGGATCTTCACCGCCACCAATTTCATGGATAATTTTGGTGGTTGGACATCAGGACGGGGGAGATGAAGCTGCCGCAGAGTTTAACGCCCAAGATATTGACCAGATATTGGAGCAAAGGACACAACAAAGACAGATTGGGGGGTAAATCACTGAAGATTTCTTTGTCGTACTTTTGTGTTCTTTACTGTGTGTACTGGGAGATATCGGTTTCTGTTAATGGAATGATCGTTCTGATAATCACTCCCACAATACCTAGCCATTTGAGCAATTATTCCTGCGTTGATGCTAATGTGGTGATATCAACTATACTACCTGAAATGTGGCAGACGTGGCAACAATACTTTTTCTGTTGCGACATTCAAAACCAATCCAGAGGTGGATGCTGTAGCAGAGTCTGAGCAGGACTCAAAATGTTTTTGGCAAGGATTGATGCCTGAAGCTTGTGATAGGACGATGGCAGAGGCTATAGCTGCTGAAGTACCTACCGATCTCCATCCCGGGGGTTTACGGAAGAGAACTCGCGGTCGTGTTAATTATCGCGAGAATGCCCGGTCTTTGGAGGATAGTAGCTCGGATGAGATGGATGATGGTATGAAATCTAAGAAAGCTGGAAATGAAAATGATGCTTCTTTTTCTTCAGATCTGGAGAGCTCTGAAGGAAACGGGACCCACATCAATTATTGGTCCGAGAAGGAACTCAAGCGGCTTGAAGATCGATTTTTTGCCCTTGGGAGGGATCGAACTGGTAATGCATGAAGCCCGTTTTGAAACATGTGAATGTGGAGACTCAATCATCTTATAATCTACGAGGCAGTTCTCAGTCAAAAATCATTTTTCAACTGGTTTTGCATCCCACCCAAACGCAGAAGACCATTTTTTCCGTACATTACTGGGTGCCAAGTTGAATACAATTACGTTGCATCTAGTTTATGTTGTTTATACTGACAGGGTTGTGGAATTTGCAGAGCAAATACGGGAAGAAGCTCGGTTGGAGCATCGCAGTCCAGAGGACATTGATGAAATTTCCAACATCTTGGTTGAGTTGTGCCAGAGTTACGTAGGCGCTAATGCTCTACTTTACTCAACTGTAGAGGATCCAACTTCAACTAATGCCGAGCCTCGTAACTGTACTGAAATGGGAGAGCAGCCGAAACTTCAGCCTTTGGTTTTGCCAGCTTCTGTACGGAAAGTCTTGGAGTCTCAAGCATGCAAGGACCGAATCCAAAGGAATGCCCAACGGTGTGTGTCTTGCTACCTACTATGATACAATTTTGCCAACTGTGTTTATCTGAGAACACTGCAATGAAACGATTCTAATTTAAAAGATTTTGCTCGGAACGCAGATATTTGCAGCAATTGCATGAACGCAAAGTACTGGCTGAGGCTCTTCAGATTCGAGCCTTTGATTTCATGGACATGCCACAGAGGTTTGTCTTGAACTATGCTCTTTTCTCTTCACTTTATCTGGAGCAGGAGAAGGCCTTAATCGTATGTTTGATTTCGTAGTTTGTCGGCTTTATCTCCTAGAGTACCTCAGCTTGTCTAAAGCTTATAAACATTTAGTTCCCAAGTATGTGTGATCTTAATGAAGCTGTGGATCTAACCGTTTCTTATTTTTCAGGTCAAAGAAACTCCCAAATTGGTGGGGCCTCAAAGAAGATGCAGACCTGTTGAAGGGGGCTCACATTCACGGCCACAAAGACTTCAAAAAGATAAGGTCAATTAATGCTAGTCCGATACCTTGTCGAACTATTAATCTCAGATATGTCACTTAGTATATTTAAGTAGTCAGCGTTTGAGATTCTACCTGTGGACATACATGCGGCCAGATATCTGACTGTCGTCTGCTTTTTTATCAGGATGGACAGCAATCTTTCTTTTGTAAACCGTACTGGACAAATTTCGGAATCAAAGGTAAGACCAACCCATCAACTATACCTGATGTGTACTGTTTCAATATTTCAGGCCTCGGCTTCAGCACAAATAAGATCAAATGTTCTCGACCTGTCATGTTGCACACGACAGGTCCTGCTCAAGTATCATACTGTCACCTTAGCATATTTCGTGATAAACCATTCCCGAGGTTCTTCTTGGCTTATACTGACTGCTGTTCCTTATGTTTTTGCTCAACCATGGTTCACTACTCAGAATGGAGAGCAGGTTCAAGAGAGCATGCCTTCGGATCAAGTACTGGGATCAAGGCTAAAGACCTTGATTGAGTCACTTCCCAATGGATTAACTGATCACGCTCTGAAGAAACGGGCAAGCAGGGCTGAGGCCTCTCGCAAGTCTAAAATGAAGACTGACCAAGGGTAATTTTAACCTACAACATTGCCATCATTTCCTTGCCGTTATCAGTCTTGTTTGTCTCCATTGTATTCACTGATCTCCACCATTGCCCCTTTAGGAAATCTGACGAGGCAAAGAAGTTACAGCCTATCATGAATGACAAGAATTTAGCCGAGTGGGTCACATCTTCGATAATCACTGGTGGGAAGGCAGAATCTATCAAGGATCAACCTATTAGTTCCAAGGCCAAACTGAAGGCTCAAGCCAGGGAATCTCAGAAGAGGCCGGTTTCAACGTTAAATTGTCTGCCAGTACTCCCCTTGGAGATCATTAAAGTACCTACTATCACAACTGAGATCGCACAATCCACGTTGGTGGACGAGTGCCAAATTCAGCCTGCTGACCCAGCGACTTCTCCTAGGAAGCCTCTTTCACAAAACAAGCAAATAGACTTGGAATCTCATAAGTCTCCCCAAGCTTTGGTGCTCAAATCAAAGCAAAAAGCTGGAAACGTAAGTAGCACTTTCAATGAACTTTTCAACTAGAAACATTTCTTTGCAGGGCATACTACAAATATCGGTTTCATACGTCAGGATTTGAACTTTTCTGAGTTTCCGATGCTTTTATTTTCAGATGTGAATGTGAGCTAATTATTGAAGAAAGTCTTTCTTGCTTCATCCTGAGTTGGTTTTACTCGTTGACTACTGTCTCAGGTCCCACAAGAGAACAAGCCACCATCAAAGAAGAGGAAATTATCACTTTCTCATACCGCGGGGAAGAGTCCCAAGGAAAGTTCCTGTAGACAACTATCACTGAAGTCGTTCATGAAGTCATTGCCAGTGCAGTAACAGGAGGCATTTTTGCAGTGTACCATTACGTTTGCCTCTTTTATATCACGGATTCAAGTAATTTTAAAATTAGACCTTCGTTTTAATCACATTAGACTTTTGGTAGGCCCTGCGCCTATTTTCGGATGTAAAATTCTAGTTAGCATAGGCATGATCGATGTAGAACTGGTTGCGTATATAACATCTTGATTGAATTTTGTACATAAATTTGTTAATGGAGCGTGCTATTACCTACAGCATCGCGGAAATTTTATGTAAGATATAACACAGCAGATGTCACAAGTATTTACTAACTTTCTCATTCAGAAATCACTGTCTATAGAAGGTTGATGAGGGTGAACAATGGAACATTGGTTATTTTAAAGGCAATATCCTATCTGCTGTCATTTTTTATACCGATTTAACCGTGAAGTAACCTAAAATATCAGCATAACGTGATTGGCCATAGAGTTTTAAAAGCATTGCACATTATCAATAATTTCTCAATGATCATTGTTATTTACGCAACATAATAACAGTTGATGTAAACTATGTATAGAAGCTCAAATACAAGTTGTCCGAATAATTTTATACAGAAGTTGTATTCGTTTGTGTCCTTATTGATTTCAACTCAGAGGGAGGTGCACTTGCATGGATTCAACTTGGTGCCAATTAAGTTCCAGTTGTATGTGTGGTTGAGCGTTTTTAATATTTAAATCAAAAGATGAACTAAACCAAGATACTTAAATCATAAGTAGTGTAACGTAACTTTATCTCATCACTTCAAAATTAATTTCCAATTGCACACTCTGCCCCAAGTGTTTTTTCAAAGAGCTCATCAAAAGTTAACACAAAATTCAATTTTAAGTCCACATTACTTAGAAAACTGGTGACGTTGAAGCGCTCAGAAGAGTAGTGTAGACACAGCACGTAAAATTGCCAATGCATTGTAAAACACACAACCAGAAAAACATAATCGTTCATCCAAATATCACATGAAAGTATCATTCATCGTCACGTCGAAGCAGAAGCTGCAGAGTAGCAGCGACGGAAGGGACTGAGAACGGGGCATCGAGCTTAGAAGGAGAGTCAGCGCCGATGCGGCCCAATTCCAGATTCACGCGTTCACTACTTGCTACATTCGGGCTATGGCAATCGGGGAAGGAGCTACTAGGACGCCTACTAGGAGCTGGATGACAATCCGGTGGAATGTGGGGTCTAGATCTGAGAGAGTTCTGCGTTCTGTTCTTGGCTGCGAGGCTCCGCGATGCTTATCTCAGGCAGCCTTGAGCTTCTCGATGTCCAGCTTCTGCATTGTCATCATGGTCTGAAACACTCGCGCCACTTTTTCTGAGTCGGAGTTGCTCATAAGCTCCGGGAGCACCTTGGGCACAATTTGCCACGACAAGCCGTAGCGGTCCTTCAGCCAGCCGCAGTCACTGGGTGAGCCCCCACCCTCGATGAGTGCGTCCCAGAGGTGGTCGATCTCGGCTTGGTCGTCGCAGTCGATGGTGAACGATACTGCTTCCGTGAACTTGAAGGTTGGCCCTCCATTGAGGCCCAGGAATGGCCGACCCGCCAGCGTGAATTTCACCAACAAGACCGCTCCACTAGGAGTGCTGGGATTGTCCGCTGGGGCGTGGACAATCTTGTCGATGCGAGAATCGGGCAGCAGAGCGACGTAGAAGGCCGCTGCCTCCTCTGCTTTGCCGTGATCGAACCAGAGGCAGGGGGTAATTTTCGACATGGTTGGTTTACCTTCAAGAATTCTTCTCACAACAGCTGCAAATAAAGCACCACTTATTTGACTTACAGTAGCCAATTTGCGACCAAATTGCAGCTAATTGGACAACTCACACGTAGCGGAATCAAAAAACCGTGCAACAACGCAATATTTCAACGTGCCTGCACATTGAAATAGAAGTGAATATCTCTGTTAGCTGAAAGACAAACAGACTGGGTCTACCGACTGTCAAGACATTCAGGAGTTTAGCGAAAAAATCCGAGGCCTCAGATCAAGGTGAAAAACTCCCCACACAACTTGCAACATGACAACATCTAACAACGTGAGCTCTTCAGATGACTATCCGGCCAAGAATGCAGAAACAAGACTTCCACAGATTGCAAGGTCTGAAACACAACGCACTCGAGCGGGGGATACTGCGTGACGGCAAGCAGTGGAAAGAGGATGTTCTGCTCTATCGTAGAGAGGCTGTGGTGGTGTTGGATCTTAAAGCAGAATGGCTGGTCGCCGTCTTGGGTCCAACGCCAAAGCTTCACTCACACGCTCAGGAGAGCCCATACGAGCCCTGACATGAGCCAGCTTAATAAAGAATGATGCAGAGTGGAAGTGCGGCATTGATGGGTCTTCCTCCCCATCGGACCTTGTGGTCCACATTTGGGTCCCCTCGACGCCGACGATTCAAACGTCGCAGGCGGCTCCGCTCGGCGAAGAGATGGCGTTCGGGTCCAGAACCCTCACAACTTCCCCGCTTCATAAACGTGAATCCATCGTCATTCTTTTTATATTCTTCATTAATCTATTCAAAGCAGAATAATGAATTGGAGACGAATTAACAGAGAATGTAGAAGTCAATGAGAAAGAGCGAGAGCCAACGTGGAAATCACCAAATGATGAAATTTATTAATGAAAATGAATGGCATGTTAATTAAGGGCATCAGGAGTGAGTTCAATAATAGTAAGATCCATCAAACATTACTGTTATATTTTAATTTTTAAAATTATATTCAAGTATAAATCAAAATAAAAGATAATTAAATAAATATGTCATGTGGATATTTGAATTTGTTCCATAAGTTTCTTGTTTTAGAAAGTTGTGTTGGAGGTAATTTGCAACTTGATGCTCAAGCCATAAGTCTTGCGGTCCTTAGGAAGCTTCTATAAGATCTTCTTTGTACTCACTTCTTTCATTACATAACAATAATCTATTAGTAGTCTTGTGAAACTATCAAGAGCATAAATCAAGACAAAATCCAAAAGACAATATATTCATATGTTATTGAAGATGAAAGAAAAATAAAATAAAATAAAATAATTAGAATATTAAAACAAATAAATAATAAAAAATAAAAATAAAATGGCTATTTTTAAATAAAAATATACTATAAAGACTTGAATCAAGTCTAAGACACAAGAAAGATGTTTACAAGACTAAGAATGGCTTAGTCTTTCATATATATTAGTTACAAAGAAGTCCAATGTTTACACTGAAGTTCAATGTTTATACTAAAAAATAAATGCAATTGAGATGAGAAATTACAAGTAGAACAATTTTAATAAGTGAATTTTAATAGTCTTGTCACTATTTGTATGAAGGGATCAAGGATTTATATGTTAGAGAATTTTGATGGAATAAGATCAGAATTTAGAAGATTTTTATAATAAGTCAAGTTCTTTTTAGATCACATGCTTTTCAATATTCTAATAGAATTATTCAAGTAGATTTTACAAGCACACTTCTTACTAGAAGCATCCTTCATTAATTTGTATCTTTAATAGAAAAAGGATTTACAACCTTTGTATAATTTAATTTTATTTTCGGAAGTATTTATGGCTACTTTTGGAGATAGCAATAAAAAAATGGTAGTAATAATAAAATTCCAATGTTTGTAAGAAGAGTCATGTTTAACTATTATTTATATTGCCAAAGTCCAATATCTTGCTTGTGACTTAGATTATAACCATAAAATTATCAAGGATATGAATCTCAAAAAAAGAAAATCTTCAACACTCTTGTATCACTGAAAGGAACTAGAAAGTTGCTCAAAGATGATATAATATTGAACTAAAATGACTATTGCCAAAAAACAAGAAGACTAAAAAGTCTGGAAACAAGACTAACGACTAAAAAGCGTTGACACGAGTGAAGAAGGCTTCACTCTTGCCTCCACATATATTCTCTACCTACGAGCTACGTGGCGATTTTCTATAGGACCTTTAATATGTGTTGACTTTGCTAGCCACATCTCTTAACTTGCAAGGCAAGTTATCTATATTTTGCCACATAGTTAACTTGTTTCACAAGCTAATATATGGAGTTAACTTGTTCGATAAGCTACCAACATGTGGTTAACTTGTTGGCTAAGTTTTTAACCTACAAACACATCTAAAGTCAAAACCACATCTATGAAGCTTCTGAGAAGCTTTTCTAGAAGATTTTATGAAATTAATCTATATTTACATACATCTATCTAATCATATAAGTAACTATTGGAGTAAATGTATATGTCTAAGATATTATTCTCTCTTCTAGGAATGAGTTCCACGAGGAGCGATCATCATCTTTTATGGATCTTTGTAATTCTTCATCTTAATTTTGATGGATGTTGTCGATGAAAGGCCTCAACCTTCTTTATTGCATTTGCAAGATTCTTTGCAAGCTCCCATGTACATTTGCTAATATCATATCTATGCCAATAAAGAAGATATTTCAACCTATTTCGACGCCACTTTAAATCTAAGACTTCTTCTATCTCAAACTCTTGATTATTATCTACTTCTATAGGAAGAGGTGGCATTTGTCTTCTTTTCAAGATATTCACTATCTTATACAACTTAAAAAGAGACATGTGAAATACATGGTGGATCTTCATAGGTTCTAGTAGATATAATCAATATTCAACATGATTGACTTATTCACTAATAAGAAAAGGTCCAAGCCTACAATTGTTCAACTTGTCACAAAGACGAGTAGTCTTGATATTGCGACAAAGTAACCATACCTTGTCACATATATTAAATTATAGTTACTTTTTGCGATAGGCACCCGTATTGGTTTTTTGTCATTCTTAAGCTTCTTTTAGTTGTGCCTTCATTGTTGCAAGTAGCTTTTACAAAAAATTTGCTAAATCTTTCACCGCAAGATTATCAACTTTTGAAAAGTCAAAAGTATGAAGTTATTGATGATAACCATAATTGACAAAGAAAGATATTTTTTGAGTAGAAAAATATACTAAATTAATGTATGCAAACTTTGTAAATGGCAAAAGAGTTGTTCAATCATCTTGATGATAGTTGATGGTATACCTCAAATTCTGCTACAAAACTTAATTCACCCATTTTATTTATCCATCAATTTGAGTATGAGAAGTCAAAGAGAATTATATATCTTCTTTTAGAATCTTGAATAGAATTCTCCAAAATCTTGATATAAATTGAGTCTACTTATTTGATATAATATCCTTTGGTAATCCTTGATAGCAATAGATATTGTCAATGAAAAGCTTAGTTATTTCTTCACATGAAATAAATTTTGTACATGATACAAAATATGCCATTTTGAAGATTTGATCTATAATTATAAATATAGAATCATATGAACTTGAACTTGAAAGATTTATAATAAAATCTATAGAAATAGAAGATCATAGTTGTTAGAATATAGGCAATGGTTGAAAAAGTCTATGGAATTGATGACGAGGAGTTTTTGATCTTGAACAAACATCACATGATTGGACAAAGTCTTTTATTACCTTCCACATTTGCGACCACCAAAAATCTCTAGATATAAGTTCTAAAGTCTTGTTGTATCTAAAATATCTTGGTGTTGGAAAGTCATTACATGCTTGAAGAACACATAAATTTGCTTATCTTTTTGGAACATATAGGTATCCTTCGAAATAGAGTAGGCTGTTCTTGAATTTTAACTTTGAAATATCATGAGACTTGGATGAAAGATTCTTGATATTACGAACAAGGAAATTAAAGGACATACTTGATTGAATTTATTTGACAAAGGTCGAATTAATAATCAATATTGATTTCATTGCTCGAAGATGAAAATGCTTTAGCTTCAAAAGGATTATTCTTTGTTGATCAAAAGATACATCTCCTTCTTTTGATATAAGATAAGAATGTCTAAAAAGAGTATATGATAAACCTTGTTATTTTTAAAGTCAATAAATGATCTTGAAATCAAATCTTGATAATAACATATTCGATCAGGCTTGATAACGATTCAAAATACGTGCCAATATGAAATACTTGAGATTCTTCTGATCTATATATATTGTGACTGAACTTGAAGTGCCTTCTAGATAATGATACTATTCTTGAAATGAATCCACAATTGCAAGAAGTTCTTTGTTGTGGATCTTATAGTTAATTTTGGATGTTAAAAACTTTGTGGGATAAAAAACTACTAGATGGAGTTTGTTATCTATTCCCATTTTGTGATAATATTACATTCTAGGCAAAGTCTAATGCATCTGTTTCCATAAAGAATGCCTTAGAAAAGTCAATGTAATACAAAAATGGTATAAAAGTAAATCCTTTCTTCAAAGCAATAAATAATACTTTTGCTTCTTTATTCTACTCAAGTTTGTCTTTAAAAGTCAAATGTATAAGTGGAGTTGCAACTTAAAAAAAGTTCTTAATAAAGATTTGATAATAATTGACAAAGTCCAAAAAAAATTGTACATCTCTTATCGTTCTTGAGGTCTTCCAATCTATGATAGTTTGAACCTTCTTTGGATCTATCATATAGCCTTTATTGGAAATGATGTACTCCAAAAAGTCAACTTGAATAGTATCAAATACATACTTTTCTATCTTTGCATATAATCATATATCTCTTAGTTTTTGTAACAAACAACAAACATAAACTTTATGCTCTTCTATGTTCTTAGAATAGATTAAAATATTATTCAAATAAGAAATGAAAAAATCATCAAGAAACTCACAAAAGACATCATTCATTAGATGTTGAAAAGCAGTTGGTGCATTTGTGAGTCCAAAAGACATGATATTATATTCAAAATGTCCATACCTAGTTCAGATAGTAGTCTTCCATTCATCTCCTTCTTTGATGCGAACTAAGTTATATGCTCCTCATAGATCTATTTTTGTATAGATATTTCCTTGATTTAGTATCAAGGATATATACTAGAAAGTTGTAGAAGATTCTAGAAGATTTTAGAGAAGCTTTGTAGTTTGTAGAAACTAATTGAGAAGTTTTCAAGCTCACGGAAGCTACTTGAGAAGCTTTCTAGCTTATGGAAGTTACTTGAGAAGCTTCATAACTCATAGAAGTTGCTTGAAAAGCTTCTTAGTTTTTGGAAGCTACTTGAGAAGCTTCTTAGCTTATAGTATATATAAGAGCCTAGACTGAGTGGATCCTCAGTCTCGACAATACATCTCTTGGAGCTCTACCTCACCTCTATAGTGTTGTTTTTGTACTCATCTAATTAATCAAGTTCTTGTCGATTCTTCTTTAGCTTCTTGTTTAGATTTCCAATCAGTATTCTAAATTTGTGACATTTTGTCGAAACTACATTCATCTTTCATATCAGAGCTAGTTCCTGCTTGTTAGAATGTAGATTATCACTCTGCTTGAAGGTTCTGGCATTTTAGAGGTTACGGATTACCCTCCTCTAAATTGATATTTCTTCTATTATAATATTGGAGTCTTAACTTTCTTAGAGA